AACAAAAAATCCACCCTGACATTCTTATTTCACGGAGTACAGCTTAAACGGCTTGATGGATTTTGACGTATGAGATGCTTCTGTAAGTGCGAGTGTCACTGGGTACACTTAAAATGTATCAAAGCAAAACGTCAGATTTAACAAGAAAACAAGCCTGAAATTCTTATTTCACACACAGCTTAAACTTCTTGACGGATTTTGACGTATGAGATGCTTCTGTAAGTGCGAGTGACACTGGTTATACTAAAAATGTATCCAAACAAAACAGCAGATTAAATAAAAAATCCACCCTGACATCCTTATCTCACGGAGTACAGTTTAAACGGCTTGATGGATTCTGACGTATGAGATGCTTCTGTAAAAGCGAGTGTCAGTGGGTATACTTAAAATGTATCAAAGCAAAACGGCAGATTAAACAAAAGATCCACCCTGATATTTTTACTTCACGGAGTATAGCTTAAACGGCTTGATGGATTTTGACGTATGAGATGCTTCTGTAAGTGCGAGTGTCACTGGGTACACTTAAAATGTATCAAAACAAAACAGCAGATTTAACAAAAAAACAAACCTGAAATTATTGTTTCACGGGGCACAGCTTAAATGGCTGGATGGATTTTGACGTATGAGATATTTCTGTAAGTGCGAGTGTCACTGGGTATACTAAAAATGTATCAAAACAAAACAGCAGATTTAACAAAAAATTAAACCTGAAATTATTGTTTCACGGGGCGCAGCTTAAATGGCTGGATGGATTTTGACGTATGAGATGTTTCTGTAAGTGCGAGTGTCACTGGGTATACTAAAAATGTATCAAAACAAAACAGCAGATTTAACAAAGAAACAAACCTGAAATTATTGTTTCACGGGGCACAGCTTAAATGGCTGGATGGATTTTGACGTATGAGATGTTTCTGTAACTGCGAGTGTCACTGGGTATACTAAAAATGTATCAAAACAAAACAGCAGATTTAACAAAAAATCAAACCTGAAATTATTGTTTCACGGGGACAGCTTAAATGGCTGGACGGATTTTGACGTATGAGATGTTTCTGTAAGTGCGAGTGTCACTGGGTATACTAAAAATGTATCTAAACAAAACAGCAGATTTAACAAAAAATCAAACCTGAAATTATTGTTTTACGGGGCACAGCTTAAATGGCTGGATGGATTTTGACGTATGAGATGTTCCTGTAAGTGCGAGTGACACTGGGTATACTAAAAATGTATCAAAACAAAACAGCAGATTTAACAAATAATTCAACCTGAAATTATTATTTTACGGGCACAGGTTAAACGGTTTGATGGATTTTAACGTATGAGATGCTTCTGTAAGTGCGAGTGGCACTGGGTGTATTAAAAAGTATCAAAACAAAACGTCAGATTTAACATGAAAACAAGCCTGAAATTATTATTTGACACACAGCTTAAACGGCTTGACGGATTTTGACGTATGAGATGCTTCTGTAAAAGCGAGTGTCAGTGGGTATACTTAAAATGTATCAAAGCAAAACGGCAGATTAAACTAAAAATCCACCCTGACATTCTTATTTCACGGAGTACAGCTTAAACGGCTTGATAGATTTTGACGTATGAGATGCTTCTGTAAGTGCGAGTGTCACTGGGTATTCTTAAAATGAATCAAAACAAAACAGCAGATTTAACGAAAAATCAAACCTGAAATGATTGTTTCACGGGGCACAGCTTAAATGGCTGGATTGATTTTGACGTATGAGATGTTTCTGTAAGTGCGAGTGACACTGGGTATACTAAAATGTATCAAAACAAAACAGCAGATTTAACAAAAACTTCACCCTGAAATTATTATTTTACGGGGCACAGGTTAAACGGTTTGATGGATTTTAACGTATGACATCTTACTGTAAGTGCGAGTGACACTGGGTATACTAAAAATGTATCAAAAGAAAACGGCAGATTTAACAAACAATCAAACCTTAAATTATCATTTCACGGGGCACAGCTTAATCGGCTTGATGGATTTTGGCGTATGAGATGCTTCTGTAAGTGCGAGTAGCACTGGGTGTATTAAAAATGTATCAAAACAAAACGGCAGATTTAACAAAAAATCAACCCTGACATTCTTATTTCACGGGGCACAGCTTAAACGGCTTGACGGATTTTGACATATGAGATGCTTCTGTAAGTGCGAGTGACAGTGGGTATACTAAAAATGTATGAAAACGAAACGGCAGATTTAACAAAAAATCAACCCTGAAATTCTTATTTCACTGGGTACAGTTTGAACGGCTTGATGGATTTTGACGTATGAGATGTTTCTGGAAGTGCGGGTGACACTGGGTATATTAAAAATGTATAAAAAAAACGGCAGATTACACGTAAGTATTCTGGTAATATCTTTTATTGCCTGACTCATTTTATGATTCTTATAAGCTACTTGGTGCCGCGTACGTGACATTGCAATTAAAATCACGCGCTCCGGATGTGCTTATTACAATGAAATCAAGGCCAAACGTATCAACCAGAAACCTTTTAAACAAATTTAATTTTCTATGCAGAGTATTAACTTAACATGTTTAAGATAATTGATAGCAACCACTTGAAATGTTTAGAGTATGCTTGAAAGATATGCAAATTTGTGGAATTATACAGTGAAAATCAAATACCTCTGACGTCGTAATGTGTACGAGAGAGAAGCTCGAGAAGAGTGCAATACATGTGCTAGAAGGAGATAGAAGCACCTCGCTGCCTAGAAGCACGACAGACAAAGCCACGGATGCCATCGTCGCACTCGTTCCAACATACTAACTGGATGCTTCACGCGCTTCTCTCTAGTACACATTACGACTTCACCCAAATTTAAACCTCACCGTATAAATTGAATTTCGGTTAAAATTAACAAAATCTAATGATACCTAAGAGACAAATATGTTTACATGGTGCACAGTATCAAATTAGATTCTAAATATTCTTCAATATGCTTCTACGAGGAAACTGTTTTCTGAGTCCTCAGAAAGTCCTTTTGTTTCCACACTAAGCTGATACAAAGATTTGTGGGGCTCGTTAGAACCATTGATTAACGTATTCTTCTTGTTAGAATACAGCATTGAGGTTATTATATCTTTTAATACCCTGAAAAACAAAATTGATTGGAAACTAGAAAAACATGTGACAATATAGAATGTTTTTATAGTTTTTGCTTTTCGTTTATGTTCCCGTTACCATTACACGAAATTTATTATAATGCCACTGTGGTAAATGGACGCGTACTCCCTACATGTTTAGATTTATCTGTTCTTTTTAACAATGAATTTCCATTTGACCCAAACGGTTATAAATATATAGCAGACCATATCAGAGTAGCTTATAGCAAGGGGAGATCATATGATTAATTTATATGGATGGCTGTATATAATCTCTGAAAGACAGTGCTTGCTTGTTGGGAATATAATAACATGATTTTTGAAAAGATCGACCCGCTACACGCGGGAGTAAAGTAATTTGTAGAATGAATGAGGTACAATACATCAAAAACACTATAGGGACGAGAGAGAAGCGCGAGAAGTGTGTATCAACACATGTTAGAAGAAGATAGAAGCCGGCTGAAGAGCCAATATGTTAGGTTACTGTCAAACCTAATGAGGAGGTCTGCTCGAATATTTAATTTAATATTTTGTTTTCATTTTAATTAAAATTATTTGTTTCAATTTTCTTGCGACAGTGCTTTAATTTAATCCAGAATTATCTTTGATGTTGTTACATTTTGCGACAGCGCTGCGGTTGGAAAATATAACAAATAACGTTACGCAATACAAATTATCACTGCCTGCGTGTACACACGTGAAAACCATTTCGAAGCAATGATACTGTGTTGCAGAATTTGTGACAATCCTGACTTTTCATTTCGACCTAAAGTGTAGCGCCGTTAAGACCGAACCTGAATCGATCCTAAACAGACACAATTCACAATTAAAAAATGCGTACGTTCAAAATAAAACCATTATTTGGGCGTCAAGAATAAACTAACGCATAGTTTCAACATGCATCTTAATTCATGGAACTGGTGTAACATATTGGCAAAGCATGAGCGTTGCTAGGCAACATATGTGTCTATACATACTTCTCTATAGTACACATTGAACTCAAGCCAACAGACAAATTTGGTTCTCAGTCTATATAATGCATATTGAGATGTGCTCACTATGTAATCCTATCGTCATTTGGCTAAAATTGTGTAAAATATAAATTCTTATTTCACGGGGTACAGCTTCACAGTTCCGAGCTAGCAGCCGTTGCGAGTGTAACTTGCACGACTGCGACCCACCCGGACATATTGAGCAATCTTATTGCGATTTTCATTGCGAGAGATTGGTTGTTTGCCATCTACGATGGCGAAAATTGAGAAGCTGAAAGAGAAGAAAGATGCTTTCGCCATGCTGGCAGAGCAAATGCGAAACCTGCAAGAAGCCTTCTTGCAGGCACAACAGGAGATCGAGGACCTGAACGGGAAGCTCCGCAGGGCCAAGAAGAAGGCCGCAAAGAAGACCGAAGAAGACGAGGAAGAGGACCACCAGGCTACGTCGGACGAGATGGACGCGCAAGAAGAGGACACCCAACGGAACGAAGAGGATAGGACCACGACAGGGACAGCAAGCAACGACGACACCGATTTCAGTGTCGCCACCAGACTGAGGAAGCGGGTGCGAGTTTCCTCCTCCGAAGACGAGTCGCCAAGGCAGCCAAAGATGCCAGCTGCCGCCACCAAGAAGAGTCCTAGAGCAGCCAGGACCATCGTGCCCCCCATGACGGGAACAGGAGTTCCCCCCATCAGCATCGAGGGCACCGCTGACTGGTCATCCTTAAGCAGGATGATAAACAACAAGGGGATCCAATTCTCCAAGGCGAGGACGGCGGGTAACAGTGTGAAGGTGTTCACAAACACACCAGCTGACTACCGTTAGCTAGTCGCACTGCTGGACTCCATCAAGCGGCCCTTCTTCACCTATCAACTGAAGGAGGACAGGATGGACCAGAGGGTCATTCGTGGACTACCCAGGAAGATGTCAGTCGATGACATCAAAGAGGATCTAGTGAGCCAAGGTATCGCAGACGCCGAGGTTCAACAGATGACCTCAAGGACCACCAAAAAGCCACTTCCGCTCTTCCTAGTCAAGACGAAGATGCCTGAAAAGCTTCTAGAGATCCAGAGGCTGGCCATGCTCACGGTCAGCTTCGAGAGAAAGAAGAGATCTACCGAGCCCAGCCAATGCTACCGCTGCCAGCGGTACGGACACACGCAGCGAAACTGCCGTCTCGCTGAACGGTGCGTAAAATGTGGTGAGGACCACAGCAGCACCAACTGTAGTCTGCCGACGCCGCCAACAGGGCAACGAAATGCCAAATGCTGCCTTTGCGGAGAAGGACACCCAGCAAACTACAAAGGATGTAGTAAGGCCCCTAGGAAAGCTGCTGCTGCCCCCAAAGCAGTCCCCACCACAAATAGGACCCCTTACGCTCAAAAAGCAAAGAAAACTATGTGCACTTCTGCCCCAGCAGCCGCCACTGCTACTGGAACTACTGCGCAGGAGCAACACGGCGATGACAGACTGCTAGCAATGATGCATGCCATCATAATCCGCCTGGATGCACTCGAGGCCAAGATGCAAGACAAGCATTAGACCCGAAATGACTACAGGGCAAAACGTAGAATCTCTACGCATTATCTCCTGGAACATCAACGGATTCAGGGCACGGAAACCAAAAATCCAGGAGATACTAGACCAGTACCAGCCAGAGGTAATGGCCATCCAAGAAGCGAAATTGGATGCTGCCCATAGTCTGACGTTCCCGCGGTACGAGACGTACCGCTACGACAGAAGAGGCAGAGGTGGAGGAGTCGCATTACTCGTCAAACGTACCTTGACGAGTCATGTCCTCGACGACGCCGCAGACATCAATCCTACAGAATCACCTCCCTATATGTGTCACCAGGGGAGGCCCTAGACGAAGATGACATCGCTGACCTCCTGAGAGGCCCAGGAGCACGCATAGTCATCGGAGATCTAAACTGCAAGTCTCCGGCATGGAACAACAACGTCAAAGACAGGAATGCAAGGCAGCTCCAAGAACACGTCGATGCCCTGGCGGGGGTCATCATCGGTCCGGAGCAACCAACCTACATTCCATTCGGCCTTGGGCGACCTGCGGTACCGGCCATCCTCCGCAACATCAGAGAGGAGTTCGAGATAGAGACCCTGGTGGAAGGATCGTCGGACCACAATCCGATCCTACTAACACTTGGCACAGGGTCTAGAACTCGAGATAGCTTGAGCACCAAACGGACGAACTGGAACCTCTACAAATCCAACGTCCAAAGGAACATCACTCAAATTCCAACCATCCGATCAGCGGAGGAACTGGACAACGCAGTAGAGGAGCTGGAGAATGGTGTCCTGCGAGCGCACGAGGACAGCACCCGCTCCGAGACTACGGCAGTTCCTAGACACCTAAATGGTCCAGCACCGCACCATATTAGGCACCTGATCAGGGAGAACGGAAGACTCAAGCGAGAACATCTCCAGCTGTTGACAGAGGAGTCGAGAGTTGCGCGAAACAGAGCATCGCTAGCTCTGAAGAACGCACTCGCGGAACTCCAAAACAGCAGGTGGAATGCAGCCTGTGCAGAACTAGAGACCCAGGATGGTACGGCCTGGACTATGCAGCGAAAATTTCATCGTCAGCGCACCACGATCCTCACTCTTCACGGCCAACGCGGCTTGGCCTACTCCAGTGAAGAAAAAGCCGAAGCATTCGCCGATTCGCTAGAATCCGAATGCAGACTCGATTACCATGAAGACGAGGACGACAACCACGAGGAGGCCGTGGAAGTCGCAGCCGAAATCATGAGGAGTCGACCACCTGGCCAGGAGACGAATCACCCCTCCAGTCCAGAGGAAATCCGTCTGATCATCCGCAGGTTGAAGGTCAGAAAGGCGCCGGGAAGGGACGGCATCAACAACAGGATGCTGAAGAACCTTCCCTCCAAAGGCATTGCTGCGCTCACCAACATCGCCAATGCCACTCTGAGACTTAACCACTTCCCGCGGCGGTGGCGGGAAGCCCAGGTTATAATGCTCACCAAGCCAGGCAAGGACCGAAAGTTGCCCCAGAACTACCGGCCCATCTGCCTGGTTTCCTCGATGGGCAAAGTAGTCGAAAAGGCTATCGCCGTTCGACTAGAGAAGCAGGCAGAAGAACTGCAACTTCTCCCCCCAGAGCAATTCGGCTTCAGATCCTCCCACAACACGGAACTCCAAGCGCTACGACTGACAGAAAACATCACCAGCGGCTTCAATCTCCAGGAGGCAACCGACCTCGTCCTGCTGGACGTGGAACGAGACTTCGATCGAGTTTGGCACGATGGACTCATCGCCAAAATGGAAGCCGCCGGAATCTATGCGAACATGTGCCAACTGATCCAGAGCTATCTAACACCAAGATGGTTCACGGTGAAGATTGGTACATGCCACTCAACAAGACAACAGCTGGAAGCAGGCGTGCCCCAGGGGTCAGCCTTAGCCCCCCTGCTCTACAACATCTATACTCACGACGTACCGAAGACAGCTGACACAATACTGGCCCTATATGCAGACGACACTGCTATAGCCGCCAAGCATCGACGACCCGAGATCATCCGTAGGAGACTACAGGATGAACTGGGCCACATCCAGGACTGGTGCGTGAAATGGAAAATCGGCATCAACGGCCAGAAGACGCAGGCAATCTTCATCCAACGAAGAAGGATTGCAAGACCTCTCGAAGCATCCATCTTCGACGAAGATATGCAGTGGAGCGACAAAGTCAAATATCTGGGGATCGTATTTGACAAGTCCCTCACCTGGAAAGCCCACATAGAAGCTGTCATCGCAAAGACCAGAGCAGCCATGGCTCAACTCTACCCATTACTGGATAGACACAGCCGGATGCCGCTAGCGACCAAGCTACGGCTGATCAAGGCCATCGCCAGACCTCAGCTCGCTTACGCCTCCGCGGTCTGGGGGTACGCTGCCCCCAGCTACCGCAAGCGACTTGCTGCTCTAGAGATGAAGCTACTCCGGATGGCCACCAGTGCACCATCCTACGTAAGAAACTCAACCTTGCGTAGAGACCTGCATTGGGGCACCAATCACGAGTACATGAGGAAAAAAGCGGAGAAGACCTTCCAGAAAGCTCAGGACCACCCGAACGAGCAGCTACGATTCCTCATGGACTACGATCCGGACGAGGGGCCTCGCAACCGCAGAACCAGGTACCCTAGACCAAGGTCCCAGTTGGCACCCGCTAACTGGAACCTTGACTAGGAGACTGGGAGAACCCGCGGTTGCTCCCCCCCACGGCGTGGATGCAGAGGACCAGGAACCACCGGGACCAGGACCCACCGGGACCAGGACCAGGACCAACCAGGACCAGGACCCGCCACGACCAGGACCCACCAGGACCAGGACCCTTCAGGACTAGGACCAGGAACAATATATAGGTAAGAGGACTTGAAACTCTTGATTTTTCGAAAACAAGAGTTTCAAGAGAACCTAGCAGACCCTCTATCGATGATCGCCTAACGACATCGATAGAATGTGCGAGGTAAAGGGAACCAACCCGGCGTTCCCAGAGACTGAAACACATGAGGAGACGTTGTAGCAGACCGCAGGTCACGCACAACACATGGCCTACCGAGACGCTGATGAGTCGGGCCACGCGGAGGTTAGGGTTTAGTGGGTATTAGGTGATCTCCTCAAGACAACCTGGAGTCCCACACACGCCGTAGCTCGGGCTATGGTATGGTGCGTAAACGCATTCCCCCCTCACCAAAAAAAAAAAAAGGCACCGCTTAAACGGCTTGATTGATTTTGACGTATGAGATGTTTCTGTAAGTGCGAGTGACACTGGGTATACTAAAAGTGTATAAAAAAAAGGCAGATTTAACAAAGAACAAACCCTGACATTCTTATTTCGCGGGGCACAGCTTAAACGACTTGACGCATTTTGACGTATGAGGTGTTTCTGTAAGTGCGAGTGACACTGGGTATACTAAAAATGTATCAAAACAAAATGGCAGATTTAACAAAAAATCAACCCTGAAGTTCTTATTTCTCGGGGCACAGCTTAGACGGCTTGATGGATTTTGACGTACGAGATGTTTCTGTAAGTGCGAGTGACACCGGGTATACTATAAATGTATCAAAACAAAACGGCAGATTTAACAAAAAATCAACCCTGAAATTCTTATTTCACACATTACGTTTTGACCAGCTTAACGGATTTCTCTTGACAGAACAGTTAAATCTTCATTCCTTTCAGTTGCTGCAGTCGGGCAGAAGTTCCTTGACGTGTTAGAGCCTTACCTATGGGTATTTCATTTTACTACTTATCCCGTTTGGCAAGGGAAGTACCGAGATTGGAAAATCAATTTATTGGGCTACCTTTTTTGGTGTTATATGGCATGTACATTAGGGTATCCCAGCCTATGAATGCAAACAAAATTTGGTTCAAATTGAAATACGGATATCTTCTATTTTTTTTCCATTTGACTCTAACCACTCAAAAGATAAGTATTATTGTGATGGTCAAACTTTGCATTTGAAAGTTAATTTGGAAACCATTAAGATCTTATTATTAGTCGTCAAATAAAACATTGCTTCATTTGTATCATATATTTATTATTAAAAGAACATTATTTACTGAGTTATCTATTCTAAGTTCTCTTTTTACAGTCAGGATATACCTGCCTGTGTTCGTGTTCGTACGCAACGTTATAAAAATTGTTTTTGTTCCTCATCAGCAGTGATCAAGCCATGGAAGTGTTGCATTAATTTGACTGCTCTTTGTGCTATATCGTCAACAGCTCTCAGTGCTTGCACCTTATCCTTAGCGTTTTGAAAAGAATCATTATATTTGTGACACTCGTCGAGAAAACTGTCAGCAATTTTGTGTCGACTGAACCAGGACTTGCTTTTGATTGAAACAAAGCCGTCGGTATTTTTGTCTGAGACGAAACACGAAAAATACTACCATCTAAACATACTAGTTTTGTCCATTCGATCACAGATAGTCAACCATGGATAGATGTTTCTTGCTTTTCAACAACTCATCAGTATGGAACGGAAGCATAGCAACTAACCTCTATCTGAGGTATAAGATCTATCGAAACAAGACAGTAAGGAGCCATCTATTTCCAGAATCACAGCTCATGCTGGCTTATTTTAATAGTTAGCATATGGTATCGAAGCAGTAAAAGAAGACAAAGGAAAATTTATTCATCAGACTTACCATAAAGTTGGCCAGAAAGTTCTTTCAATGGGATGTAGCGTTCACCGTGGGCTGATGGACTTTCTTAGGCTAAGTTAGCAACAATCTTTACTTCAGTTTCCTCATCTACGTCGTCGTCAAGCAGAGATAAAACAGAGACCTCACCTGCCAAATACCATAAAAAATGTTGGCAGAACTTTTGTAAAACTGCTTTTGAAATGGTTTTGTCAATTCTTTCGTAAGCCTCCGTTGCCTTTAAAAAGCATGAATCCTGGATAGGTGCTTTTACCGCTAAAGTGCATTGCAACAACAGGCAGATATCTAACAGAACTGCCTTATCCTTATTAGCCATTTATCGAGCACCTCCAGAATGTTTTGTCACTTCTTTTTTGGGCCACGTTACCGTATGTACTTCAAAACCCTTTTTTTCTAATTCCACGTATGCTATGCAGTTAAAGGCAATGCTACCGTATGGTCACAAGTAAGCTTAGGAGAGGAAAATAAGGTACATTTAGTTTGTCCGCCAATTTTTACGTTTCACATGGATATTATTGCTCCTGCATCGGCGTGTGTGTGACTTTGGATTGCCAGTCAGTCTAGACACAAGTGATTTTATACGAGCCCCTTCCTACTTCAGTTGGCCCAACTATTGAAATCTTAGTTTTTCTCTCATCAAACACAAATAATAAAAATGTAGCAGGGTGTTATAGGTTTAAAATATTAACAATGAATATTTTGATAATATATAGTAGAAAACACCAACTTTATCACTCCCTAATCAAATTTGCAGCATAAAAATAACACATGTTGCAATTACAGCATATCAACCTATTTTCATTTCAATGCAAAATGTCTATAACGCATAGGTGGCTGTGAAAAATAAAAGCCATGTCAATTGTTTTTATTAATCACAGCTGTCAGAATACGTTTAAAATAGTTTTGGGTAGTTAAGGTTTTCAAAATGGGTAGAGGAAAGGTTATTGGTGAGAAAATTCGGTTACTGATAATTAAGTTTTTTAATTCTGGGAAATCAAACTCAGAAATTGCAACTTTGTTAGACTCGTGGTACAGTGTGAGAAATATTGTTAGAAGATATAACGTAACTGGTTCAGTTAATATTAAGCCACGATATGTGAAAAAAAGTAATATCACAAATGGCGACCGAAGAGCATTAAGAAGAATAATCGTGAAAAACAGGCGTGCCAATTATTTACAATTAAGTGCTCTGTGGAGTGACGCTGTTGGAAGCAGAATTTCGAGGTCCACAACTCATAGAGAGGCCCACAAACTGGGATTTAGCACTTGCAAGGTAAGTTTTCTTACAAAAAAAAAAATGAAGTAAAAACCCTAAAGTTTCACAACTTGTTTTTAGGAAAAAGAAAAGCCACTATTAACTCCACTGCAAAAGAAAAATCGGTTTAGATGGGCTAAAGAACATAGACAATGGACACCTCAACAATGGTGTGCAATACAATGGAGTGATGTGGCCCGATTCGAAGTTTGTGTTGGTGACAGTCGCAGTAGAGTTATTAGCAAAAAAAGCATTCCATGTTGACTGTCTGAAGAGAAAAGTGCAATTTCCAGCATCCATTATGGTCTGGGGCAGTATGTCATCAAAAGAAGTAGGAAGACATCATTTTATTGATCGAAATGTGGTTACAAACAAACATTTGGCAATTTTATAAGAATCGCTCTTACCAGTGATGGAAGAATGTTTGACATCCGGCCAAGATTTTGAGCTGCAGCAAGATGGTGCAGCGTGCCATACCTCAAAAAAGGCTATAAAATGGATGGAAGAAAATAATGTACCACTTTTGAAATGGGTTTCTAGCAGTCCTGATCTGTCACCTATTGAAACTTTGTGGCACGAGATGAAAAATATTCTACGATATACATCCTGCTCGTACAATCACCGAACTGAAATATGGGATTGTTTTACACCAAATTTTTGCCAAAACTTGGTTAACACTATGCCCCAAAGAATTTCAGCCGTAATAAAAAATAAAGGTGATGTTACTCAATGGTAATCTTTCAGTTGTTGCTTTGTTAACTTCGTGCATTTATTCGCACATTATTTATTTGTTCAGATGTTCTATTTGTTATAGGTATAAGTGATTTCAAATATGTATTTTTTACGACTAGAGTGTATCTTAAATGTTTTTGAGAAAATAAATTGTTTTAGAAGTAAATAGTTTCGTCATGTTTAGTTTATAAAGGCATATTTTGGTACAAATCTTGAAGTGGGCTAACTGAAGTGGGAAGGGGCTCGTATTAGATTATTGATTGAGATTTTACTAATTGCAGTGTTGAAGTAAGAATACTTTAGGTAAGTTAATGTGATATATACATTTGAATAGATATGGATAGTTTGAGAACAATTTTGAGTTAGATAATGCCGAAACATATGGTTACATCGTTTTATGGTAAGAATAAGTGTAGGTTACCAGCGTTATAACAAGTTTCCGATGATTCTGATACCTCCGATGAAGAAGAAAACTTGACATTGAAGAATCTCATAAATAGAATAATGCAGACCTGGCAACCAAACATAACTTGCGTTGACACGGCAAAAGAACAAAGAGTATACGATATCGATTCTGATTGCCAAGAAGCCAGCTCCAAAAAGGAAAAAGGAAAATCAAGATGAATTTTAGTTGGATTTACCAAAATTTGATCGAGACTGCAATTTTATCCCCAGTACTAATCTCAATTCGGACAGGAAAGCAGAAAATCAAGAAGCAGCTACTCTGAAACCTCAACACCAGTCATACGACGTCCTGTTGAAAGGCCAGACGCTTCAACAAGGGGTGATTGCTATGCACTAGTAAAGTTAGATGTAGACTTTGTACCAAGGATACAAGTAGACCAAAATGTGAAAGTCCTACTTTTTATCTTTTCATTTACGCATAAAATGTATAAAATATTTTGCACATAAAAAAATTGTTTTTGTGGGCCTTGTGACCATAAGATACAAGCTGTTATTATGTTATTTTTATAGGTACAATAATAAATTAATTGAAAATAGAGTTTAAAATGGCTCAATACACAGCAGCAGAAATATTTCTATTTTCGTAAGGTGCCTGGTACGGGGATACAAAAATGTATGTAACCATATGGCTACTGCAACCAATAAAGGCTTAAAAAGGTTGAACTGGGAACTTGATAACGCTGTTTTTAATTAATAGATTGATCTGACCATTCATCCAGATTGTTGCATGGCACCTGGCGGTCGAATCTTAATTTTTTTCTCTGTATCTCCGCCAAGGAATATTATTGAATGTCCTACTAATTCTCTAGTCATCTCTAGCAGCTTATTTGGTCAATTCATGTGGATAAGATTCTAGCAGCTTGTCAGTCTTTGGAATATTCAGGCATGATAGCTTTTCAGTATAAATCTGTAATTTCTCGGAATCCACACTTTTCCAGCTCTCGCGGAACTTTTTAAACATTGGAATGTCAGGGCTTGTAGTCTTGGTCGTTCTATGATCCAAACTCGCCTTTTATCACTAATTCGTAGACGTGATGACGTCGAGCAAAAATAAGCATTTCTTAATTAATTTTCTGTTCGGGAAGCACGCAGGCACCTTTAATGCGACCCGTATTTGAAGCTGTTGTATCACAACAGATAATCTGAACTCTATCTTCAAGATTCCAGTCAATAAAAGCATCTCAGTGGACTTTACAGTAGCCGGTACCTCGCTTTGGAAATCAAGCTTTATGCTTCTGCGCCGTCGTTTCGCTTTTCGGTAGGAACTCGTCAGTGTTATGTCCAAGTGTCTCAATGGTTGCTTCAATAATAAAAACAGCATTTCTAATACAGGGTGCGGCAGAGAGGACGGACGTTTTTGGGATGGGCAGTACTTTCCGCCTCCGTCTACGAGAGAGGTGGGGAGGGTGCCGTTTGACTCGTGAGATCCTAGCATTATTTTACCAGTTCTCGTTATGGAGCCTTGGATGGTGGAGCACCGCGTTTTCGCCTATGATTGTTTCGTCCGAAATAATGAGTCAGTCATCGTCGTACAGCGTGAGTTTCGTCGCCACTTCAACATTCAGCGGAATAGAGCTGTTCCTTCTCGAAACACCATCCTTCGTTGGGTTGAATCACTTCGCAAGCGTGGTGAACTGATCAACAGAAGACCAAGAGGAGCGCCGCGAACAGTTCGAACTCCTGAAAATGTTGAACGCGTTCGACAGGTCTTTCTTCGCAGTCCGACTCGATCTACCCGGAAACATGCTGCTGCACTTCGCCTTAGTGATCGTTTGGTAAGGCGAATTTTGCATATGGATCTCCACTTTCACCCCTACAAATTGGCCATTGTGCAACAGTTACAGCCCGGAGATTATGCACAACGAATGAACTTCGCATGTGAGATGGAAGCAATGATCGATAACAATGAGAACCTCAAGGCTAGAGTATACGCGAACAAGCCCCGAACTCTGGATGAATTGAAGGGCGAAATTCGCGTGGAACTCGCCCAAGTTGAGAGAGCGATGCTGGAGAGAGTCTACGCGAACTTCCAAGAACGCCTCCAGCACTGCATCAACGATTTCGGCCACCACATGCCTGATGTGATTTTCCACACTTGACTGTCTCAAATGCTATTTCCTTGTGAACCTGATTCCATCAATAAATTTGTTTTCGAGTAAAAATTAACTATTTTATGATTTTTTTAAAATCGTTCATCCTCTCTGCCGCACCCTGTACTTAACTGACACCTATCTAATGCTGCCACTGATTTTTAAGTTATGAAACTTTTCCTCATTTTAAGTTTGATTAGTATCAGGCTGTGTGCTCTGAGTTGGGACGGGCAAAGTTTCTTGTACATCTCGGAATCTGAAAATAAATTTTCTTGCACTGGCTTGTAAGATGATGCCGAACGAGTTAAGGAAGCAACATTTATACTGAGTGACAAAAAAGAGGTGAACACCTATATATGTTTATCCGATTTTAATAATGTTAGGCGTATATGCTCAGTGTCCCTCCCTTACTAGTAAAATGATTTCAGCTTTATTCGTCAAAGGACTGCAGAAGCTGGTTCAATAATGTGTTGAGGATCCACGATTTCTTATACACGAAATGACACGTCTGGGAACCGTGCTGATAAGGTGGTCGATATCCTGTTGGGGTATCTCATTCCATGCTACTCCAACTTCGTGAGTAAGAGCTGCGAAAGTCTGTAGAGCCTGCGACCTAACATGTTCAATTGGAGATAGGCCAGGCGATCGTGGTGGCGAAGGTAAACGTTTGATGCGATGTTGATCGATGAATACTAAGGATGCTCTGGCAACATGCGGTCTGGCAATGTCTTGCTGAAAAGTCGGGTTTTAGATGGTGCTTAGGTTTGGAATAGGATGAGGCTCCACTGCTTCCTGAATATAGCGTCATATTGCCTCTGATGAAAATTGAGGTTTGACTACCATAAGCAATAGCACCCTATACGCAGAAGTAGCACGCAATGTGGGCGATAAGAAAAAAGGCCAAACTGTCGTATGCGGTGATATACTGTACGCATACCAACCATGCTTTACACAGTTCATAGGAAAGATCCAAAGTTTAGAATTCTCAGGAAAGAAACTGGAGGTGGAGTTCTCCTTGCTGCCAAAGACTTAATTGATACTATGGTGGTTGAGAGAGTAATTTTCACTTACAGTTCCCTTCTATTGATCTCTTAGTAGTGAAGTGTAATGTAGGCTTTAAGTCATTTTTTGTAGTTGTTTTGTATATACCTGATGCAGTAAGCGTTGTGGAATATGAATCTTTCTTTGATGCTCTCGAACAGTTGTAATTCTTGAATGACGGTAATTCTATATCCTTTGGAGGCTACAATGCTGCTCGCTTTGTTAAGAAGAGCATGCTTGATCCAAAGACAAAACTTATATGCAATTATTTGGATCTGCTCAATTGCCAGCCACTGAATACCGTAACTAACCACTTAAGCAGGTTATTAAACTTAGTAATTACACCTTTTACTTGTGAGGTCACTCATGATGTTATGCCTTTGGTTTCGGAAGACAAACATCACCCTGCTTTGAATATCTGTGTACTTGGTATATTTACCAAAGACGCTAAAATAGAATTCAATTCAAGTGAACGTGTCTACAAGTTCAGAGAAGCTGATTTTCCTTTCTTTACAGAGAACTGTATGAAACTGACTGGAGCGTATTATTTGCCTCTGAAGATGTTAATGCTGACCTTGATAAAATATACGAGACAATATTTAGCATTTTTGACAAACATGTACCAACATATAGAAGCTATCTACTTACCCCCCTTGGTTTGATGCGAGAATTATCCGCAATATTAAGCAAAAAGTGAAATGCAAAAATAAATTCGGGAGGTTTGGTCGGGGAGTTGATGAATGCGAATTTCAGCGGCTACGCAAATTGATTAAGGTCCAGATTAATTGTGCATACAACTACCTTCAAGATATTCAAAATTCATTATCTCATGATCCTAGGAGGTTTTGGTCATATGTGAATTCAGAAAAGAACACTTCTAGGATCCATGGAAAGATGTTTTACCTTAATGAATCATTTGATAATCCGCAAGACATTGTGAACGCCTTTAGTGTATTTTTCAAGAGTGTCTACATAGAGTTTGAAGCAGCCAATTTGGGTAATGTGGACGATAGTTTCAACAATGTTGCTCATGTACATTTTGATGAAATTTATGATAATAATTGCTATTAAGAAACTCAAGGACAAAATGACTTCAGGCCCCGATAATATTCCATCCTTTTTGATCTAAGATTGTGCCGGAGCAATCGCAGTTTTTTTTAACAAAATTCTTTAAGCTGTGTATTCGGTGGAAGAAGTTTCCGAAACTTTGGAAAGTCGCCAAAGTGTTCCCTGTGTTAAAAACTGGAGACAGGTCCAATATTGAAAATTATCGTCCGATCTCCATTTTGTGCATGTTCTCGAAGGTCTTTGAGATAATACTTTTCAATCGTATTTATAATTCGGCGCATAATCAACTCTCACATCAGCATGGATTTATTAAAAACCGTTCAACTCCTTCAAATCTAGTTACCATAACGCAATATATTTCGGAGGCATTGGACAACAGTAGTCAAGTTGACGTCATCTACATGTACTTCTCGAAGGCCTTCGATCGAATAAATCATGATGTATTGCTTGGAAAGTTAATCAAATTTGGTTTTTCTAGTGATGCTATGGACCTTTTTGAATCTTATTTATCTTTGAGGTGGCAATTTGTTTCTTATATTAATTTTCGTTATGATACTTACTTAGCCTCATCCGGTGTTCCGCAAGGTTCAAATTTGGCTCCTTTGCTGTTCTTGCTATTCATCAATGATTTACGTGAAGATTTGCAGAGTGAGAGTTTTTGTTTTGCGGATGATTTGAAAATATATTCCGTTATCAATGATTTGGATGATTGTACTTTCCTTCAGACTCAATTAGGCATCCTCCAGCACTGGTGTGATCCCGATAAGTTATTTCTTAATGTACCAAATGTAAAATTATGAGTTATTCTAGGAGGAAAACTACCTATCACCTTATTTACCTGTTAAATGGGCTATCTCTGGAGCGTTGTACCGAAATTAAGGATTTAGGTGTGAGTTTTGATTACAAGTTGACATTTGGTAAACATATTGAAGCATTAGTTTCACATTCTATACAGTTATATGGATTTGTTAGAGACTGTAGGCATTTCCATAACATAAGAACCATTAAGCTACTTTGTTTTGCTTTTGTGAGGTTTAAACTGGAGTAGGCTTGCATAGTTTGGAATCCCTTTTATGAGTGCCAAATGAGTTGTTTGGAGAAAGTACAGAGAAGACTTTCTAAGTTCTTAGTTTATCAA